CTGCTGAAAGCAGAGGGTTCTGATACTAGAATACTATGGAGATTTCTTTTAAAAAATAATACAAGGCTCAGATTTTGAAGCATAATGTACAGAAATTAAAGAACAAAACAATGCCTATACATCTGTGAGCACAGCAATGTGATTAAATTATATACTGCCTTTTAGGTTTATCACATCAAATATGTTAGGTTTGAATAGGTTTAGCTTCCCATCGTAAAACCATATCTTTGAAGTAAGAATTTTTTTCTTGCCTCAATTATGACACATTTCAGATGATTCAGCCGTTTATTTTGCGAAGATCAAAGAGAGATGTTGAGAAGCAGCTAACAAAGAAATATGAACACGTGCTAAAGTGTCGTCTTTCAAATCGACAAAAAGCTATGTATGAAGATGTCATATTACAACCAGGGTAAGGACCTACAGTAAATAAAGTAACATAAAATAACAGTAAATGGGGAGTGCTGTTGTTTTTGGTGCTTAAGGAAAATGATAAATGATTGTTGTGGTTGAACATGTTTTAGTGTTTTTCTGAAATTTTCCGTTATGACCAGTGAATAGAATGGTTACATTATGGACTAAAATGACAGGCAAGTGATGTTGTGGTCTTAATGAAAATCATGCATTTACCTCTGGAATGTAAAAATCAAGTTGTAATGGTCAGATTCGTTACTATTTTGTTTTAAGATTTGTCTCTACTGAGTGGTTCTTTCTTTCTTAAAGCCTAAAGTGTTTCACCTCACACCCACCCATTTACCTGTGCTGTGTTATCAAGTGTTTATTGATAGTTGCAGGGATGAAACAGAAATGAAGCAGGCAGAGGATAGCGAGCTGGTTAAGCTGTATTTGGCTGTAAGGAAGCACAGGTCTTTAGGTTTCATATTTCCAAGTTTACATTTGGTACAGTGCTACTTAAAATGCTCTAGAAAGACTTAGGTAAAATCTAACCTTATTCTAATTCTTTGGCATAACATACTGCTTTGCACATTCTTATGCTGCTGATTCAGGGACATCTCCATAAAAGCTGTTCTTAATGTATTTCTAGTACCCAAGAAGCCCTCAAAAGTGGACACTTCATCAGTGTCTTGCACGTCCTGATGCAGCTGCAGCGGATTTGTAACCACCCTGACCTGATAAACCCCCGGCTTTCAAGTACCTCTTATGTATCAGAAACACTGGAATACAGAACTGCATCTCTGGTGCTGCGTGCCCTAGAAAGGGATATTTGGAAGGTAAGTATAATAGTAAACTGTTCTTTTCTCTTTTAGTGCCCTTGTAGAATTTCAGTACTTAGTATTATTTTCTTACACATCATACCTGAAGATTTTAACTAGAAGGAAGTCACTATTCCATAACTGTGCCTTCAAAGTATGTACTTGCTGCATCTCTTTTCTGTAATAATAGCTTGAGCTTTTCAAGTGGTTTTGTGATCAGGCATTTTTCATTAACTACTTGGTCAAGAGAAACTGTCTTTGATTTCATCGTGCTCATGTGTGCAGGAATTTTCTGACACTGAAAACACTCTGGGTAGCACACTGTTTATTTATGGCATTCTGAAATTTTCTTTCTGCTTTCAGTTGCTAAAGGAGACCAAGACTTGATATTTTTCACATAAAAGACTGATTGAAGTAGTATAAGTATTCTGTCCATCCATTTGATGTACAATTAGCTGTGTTATCATTAAAGAAGTGATCCCCCTGTTTGAGATAATTGGGGGAAATAATTACATTAGAGAGAAGTATGAATAATGGAGCAGATGAAATGATCTTTTTGGTCGATCTTCTTTCCATCCTTTGTATTTTTCTACTCTGAAATTATATGCATGCCTTCATAGTTTGGCCTTCTAAGAGTTCTACTTAATTCTTTGGAAATTCTGGTGTATGTACGTATGTTCAATGTGCCTTGTTTTTATTTCCATAACTGGCTAATTATTTAAATTCTTTTTCTTCCAATGCTGATGCTTAAAATGGGACTACCAGTTTAAGAGATATTTCCAAGTTTTCTACACAGTTTTGGCTAGTAATTGTTTAGTTTTTAAACACAGCATTTATTGCAAGTTAAAAAGTAAAATATAGAAAGTGTATTCAGCATAGAACGTTTAGAGAACGTAACTGTTTGGGTCATCACATAAAATAAACTTTATTTTACAATATTCCTAGGAATCAGACCTTTCTCTTTTTGATCTCATTGGAATGGAAAACAAAATGACCCATTATGAAGCACAAATGTTGCCAAAACAGAAGGTTACCAGAAAGCTGATTGAAGAAATCTACAGCTCCCCTCCACCACCAGCTAGGCCCAACCCAGTGAAGCTCAAACCAAGCAGGTATGCACAGCTGCCCTCCTTTTAAGCTAGAATTGCAGAAGGAAAATATAGTTCTGTTGCTGTGTTTACTGAGTTCTGTCTGCATCTGTGATTCACACAAAACCTCAGACTTGACTTTGCGTTTTATTGTTCTATTGATTTCTTGTTTACCCTTGAAAATAGGGATTCTATTTTAATATTTTTTTGAGCCATACAGTTCCATTTGAAGTTTGTTTATGGATTTCCCATTGTTTTACTTCACCTGCAGATTAAATTTATTCTTGGGGTCCTTGTTTATGGCAAGTGAGTGTTGTTCTGCAAAATTAACATGGAGATAGTACTTGGAGACTAAGCTGGTCCTACAGTGTTAGCTGTGCTAGTAGTGTCGTAAGAGACATAGGAGGTTTTATAACAGTAAATCTTTTAAGAATATTTCTCTTGTAGTGAAGTAGTGATCTCAGAGTAATGTGGAACTGTTTCCTGATGCAAAGGAGCTGTCTGATGACCTGCCAGCATGTTAATGTAATTAAATTAAATGTTAGTTTCTCTCTAGAAATGGTAGGAGAGGGCCATTTTTTTTGCAGATATCAAGCTAGAATCTTTAAGCTGTTTGCTGTAGCTCTGAAGTGGACGTATGGCAGTGAAAGTTTTTCTTTTTTCTTGGGCTTAGCAAAATGACTTAATGGGATGTCTACATGTGAAATTTGCTGAAGTGATGAGTCTTGCCAGCTTCAGCCATCTGTGACAAAGAGATTAGCATCTGATGATGATGTGATCAGTTAATACTTTTTTTAGGTCGTGGAGTTTATTTTTAAAGCCGAAACCGTGATCTTCTTATCGATTTTGACATTTCATATTCTTTTCAGGTTGTTTCAACCCGTTCAGTATGGTCAAAAGCCCGAGGGCAGGACTGTAGTTTTCCCAAGCACTCAAATCCAACGCACGGTGACCACAGCGACGGTAACTCAGCAGGGACAAGTGCGAGGAAGATCTCCCATAGCTACAGTGTCTTCAAACCAAGGTAAGAGAGTTAGAGCTGGGTTGGTTACCCGGAGCTCTGTGTAGACAGATAAAAGGTAGTCTGTTAATAGACGACCTTTTCCCTCTAGCTTAATGATCTAGAGTACTAATGGCTTAAGAATACCAACCGACTAATTGCCAGTAAATTTCCCCACTAGTTTCTACAGTATGATCTGCCAGTACGATGCAAAACTAAGCTTTGTGTAACCTGACCGTTAGTGTACGGAGTAAATGTGGCGCAGTTGGTATTTCAGCCCCGATCGCGTGTAATGTTGTGTCACAGATGGGAGTTTACAGTGCTTTTGTGTATTTATTTAACCTTTAAATGACGCTGTCCAAATATATAATGTTGTAAACATAGGATGGAGTAAGAGGTGTGGCTAGAAATCCCAATCTGTAAGGACAAGCCGCTCTTGTAGCCATTTTAATATCCTTGTGGGAAGGTTTCTTTTTAATGCAGGTTGTTTAAAAGAGTGGAGTTAAAACCTCTAACAGCTTGCACGAACAACCCTTATTGATTGCAGCCGCAGCAGCACAGTTTCAGACAACTCAGGCTTCCACCAGTGCTCCAAGACACCAGCCCGCAGCGACCTTCACCACAGCAACTAGCACAGCCAACCCTGTGAAACCGCGGGGCCAGACCTCTGCGCAGGCCGCCCAGCTGGGCCAGGCCCAGCCACAGGCCCCCCCGCACACCATCCAACAGAGTGTGCTGCCTCAGAGGCTGGTTCTCACCTCTCAGGCCCAGGCACGGTTGCCTAGTAAGTGGCCTCCCCTTTCCAGGTTTCTCCCACCTTTGTACTACAATGAGGTTAAGTTACTAGGCACCCTAAAATGTGTACAGAATCATTGTTTTTTTTTCACTCTTCTGATTAGCCTTGCTCAGTATGTTGCTTATGACCAAGGAGAATCGAAAATTGGATAAGAAACAATAGAATTGCTGTGGACATACATTAGTGGTGTCAACTTAATCTCCTATTTCTGCATGTTTCTTCTGCTGGCAAGACTTCCTTCAGACCAAATGTTTTAGCTCTATCCTAATTATTCCTTTCATATTAAACACTAATCCATCTGCTAAAGGCCTCTCTGGCAGAGAGGAACGTCGCAACCGTTAGGCAGAGAAAAGCGATGAGGCTTTGCTTTAAGGTTGTATGTGCACTGCCTATTAGCATGTGTATTAGAGTACTGAGCACTGATGTATTAATTTTATCTCTGGGGTAATGCACTGCCTTTACAAAAGCTAAATTTTTCACATCGATATTTTCTCAGTATCGTAAAACTTAACGCTTAAGTGCCTCTAACCTTTCTGCATTTAAATCACAAAAAGCTTGGTCCTCGTCACTTTAAAGCTTTTTGGTTTTTCTAAGTGCAGATCATTTAATATAAACCACGTTTCATCAGTAAATTTCAGACCATTTCAAATGTGTATTACAGTGTGTGAATATTTTTGTCTCTTCCTTCAACCTTCCTTCGTGCTCTTGAAAAGGCAGTGGAAATCACTTCAATGTCTATACCTGTTCTGTTACAAAGTGTCACATGAGTTTTCAGGTAGCTAACTTCTAAAATGGTGATGTTCTTACCCTTAAACAATCAGCTTTTTTCCAGTTTGTCCAACAAATATAGAAAGCAATACCTGCTTAACTTTTATATGACACTTTTGATGCACTAAGTATAATTATGCATGGAAGGCGCTTCAGCACCAGTTTACTAACCAAAACTTAGAATTGTGAATATTGAACAACCCGCTTCTCATTTTGTTTTTTTTAATGCCTGTTTCCCTCCTTAACAGGTGGTGAGGTAGTTAAAATAGCCCAGCTGGCTTCTATAGCAGGAGCACAAGGCAGAATCGCTCAGCCAGAAACCCCCGTAACTCTGCAGTTCCAGGGGAACAAGTTCACTTTGTCACATAGTCAACTTCGCCAGCTCACTGCAGGGCAGCCCTTGCAGTTACAAGGTACTTGTTTCAAACCAGGGAGTTTTCTATTGTAGAGAATATTCATATTTTGATATTTTGATACGAGCAGCACATTGCTTGTTGCTATATGTTAAGATTTTTTCCATCTCCACTGCTTGTATTGCGCTGCTCTACCTGTTTTCTCTGTGAGACAGGGATAACAGGGTAGCTCTGTTTTGAAAAATAAATGCCTATAAAGTGAAAGACAAGTTTACTTTCCTTCTCTGTTTCATATTTCAAGGTTTTATTATTGAATTTGTTTTCACATGTATGTGATACAGCTAGACTAAGGTGGGATATTATTTCAGATAAACTTCCTGATGAGCAGAAACATAAAAAACTGAGTATGTACTTGGTTTGTTCTGAAATGGTGTAAATAATACTTGAAGAATGCTGTGCCTCTGAATTTTGACCCAACTGTTACCCTTACCTGAATACGCTACGTACTGTGTATTTTGCCCTCAGATTTCCCTTGCTGATGGTATGTGTGCTGCCAAATGCAGGAGAACCTGGAAATCTTGATTCTTTGTGGCCAACAAAATAAAGAACACCCGAGTATTTTGTCCAAATTCCATATAAAAATACCTAGATTTAGAATGATATCACTATGACATGAAACTCCTCTTTAACAATGAAGACTTAGGGGTTTCCCTCCTCTCAGATACTATGGAACTTTAAATCACATTGGTGTAATGAACTTCTTTGGGAAAATTTAACATAGATTGAAACTATGATGATCAGTTTGTAACGGTAGTATCTTTTTGTAGAGAACACTATTTACTCTTTTCCACTCTATCCAGCCTGATTTTTTTAAAAAATTCCTCCGTTGCAGGGAGTGTTCTTCAGATTGTTTCAGCACCTGGCCAGCAGTATTTGAGACCTCAAGGTCCGGTTGTCATGCAGACAGTTTCCCAAGCAGGAACTGTTCAGAACGCTCTGAATGCTTTAGGAAACCAGCATCAAGCAGGTGTCCCAACTTCCACAGCAGTGACACAGCAAGGTAGGTTTTATAGCTTGAGGAAATGTCTCTATCCATACATTCAATCAATAAAATCACACTGATGTATAAAAATTGTTATAGATCATAATTCTGTTAGTTGAGTTCAGAAGCAGGTAAACTGTGAGGCAAATCCTTTGTGTAGATGTGTACTGAAGCTTTAGATAATTTTTTAGTACAAACTTGGGAGAGTTTGAAAATGTATTGAATATGTAGATTCATTTTTTAACAGTTGTGTCTTAGGTCAGATTTTTTTCTGGGAAGAAGTGAGTTTGAAGTACTTTAACTTTTTTCCTTAGAAAGGTCAGGGTGATGATTTTTTTTATACTGACAGAGAATGTCCAGAAATTCTCTCTACTTTTCCACATCAAGTTTTCTTCTATCAAATTTTCTTTGCTTCTCCATCTAATCAGGGTTATGCTTTCCTTTTTCCTCTTTAAATACTGCATAGGTGTTTGGTGCCTTGCTGCAAGTGTGATCCTTTCCTTGCTTAGAAATACAAGATGTTGATCAAAAAACAATAGACAAATTGCTGTCTAGGATGCATTTACAACAAAACAGCAGATTGTTAAATGGTGATAAATGGAAAGCTAGGAGTTCATTCCCTGGAAATGCCAATCTGCTGTGATTTTCTCTGGTTATAAACCATTCTCTCAAACCAGACTGTTTACTGCTCCTTTTTGATGTATTAATGTACCCTTGAAGTTCGTATTTTGACTTTTCTGAAGATTAAACATCTCATTATAAAAAGGGGAGTGGAAGCTTCAACAGCTTCCCAGTTGTTGGGAAGTAAAGATTTGCCATAGTTTGGAAGATTTGTGGCTCAAATGTTTCACTGTCCAGTTCTGATTACATGACAGGTACTCCTAATATCGCCATAGTTCAGAATGAAAATCAATGTAAAAAAAAAAACCCTCACACATCATAATACTCTCACGGTGCTAAAAAGAGAGCTTCTTTAAAAGCAACAAATACAGAAGTACTATTTCCAGCTGATAAAAGAAAACATTATTTTTGCAGTTCATCTTTGGAGAGAGATGTAAAGCATGTTGAAAATACTTATTTTGACTTTCTGAATTTGGGATAAAATGCCAAATTCCATTGCTCTGGATGATTGAAAACTAATTGCTGGGCTCACATGTAGCTGTGCGGTAAAATTGGATTTATACTGGGCTATCTGTATTGGCTTTTTTGTAATAAAAATGCCGAAAGGCAAAACTTAAACCTCTGCATACTCCTTGGAGTCTATTATTCTCAACATAAAGGTTAGAGGCCCTTCCTTGTCAACTTGATAGCAGTTCTTCATGGGTGTGTTGACTCACCAGTAAATAGTTTCAAAGTGACTACTGGAGAGTTTTGCTGCTTTTCTAGTGCAGATAGTGCTGGTGAGCCATTGCCCATTCTGGCTGAGATAGAATCCTATAGATCTTATCAAGAAAATAACTCCTATGTAGTGTCTGTAGTCAGCTAGTACATATTACTATAGTTTCAATTAGTTTACTTGTGTGTAATAGTCTTATAGTTTAGCTGTCTAAGAAAACACCTGGTAGCAGTTCAGTTCACAAGAATGCTGCTGTGAGATTCCATCATCTAGTTTCATCAGTTTATAGATACACTGAAGTCATATGTTTTCTGAAGAATCTTAGGTAATTTTTTGGAGATAAATTAGAACAATCTTTTCAGATGTAGAATGTAACTTGTAAATGTTAATATTTATTGCACTGTGTGTGACAATGTGAATAAACTAAGAATGCAGCAGGTCTTTGTGCAAAGTAAAAGCCCATTGATCTGCCTTGGATTTCTGTGAAAACAGTGTAACTACCTGTCAGATACCTGATTTGTAGCAGAGGACAGATTTGCAATACTCAGTGGATGTTTAGACCAAAAATCTGTCTGCAGTTACGAGGTGTTACAGCTTTGATATGTCTACTTATTGACAATAGTAAATGAGACCAATCTTCAGAAGAATAAATATATAAACACAAGGTTTATCCTCAGTTTGTATTCCAGGTAGAACTGCAGTTAGTAATTTGTCAGCTGGTGACATGGGAGCAGCATTAAAACCAGTGCCTACACATGGACAATCACAGGTATGTCATTTTTATTTTCTTATGGAAACACAACTTCTCAGGATTGATACTAAGTCCATATAATAGTTGGAAGCTATAATTTAAAAAGCTGGAATGAATTAAACTTTGATGGTTACATAGTAGGTAAAACCCCCAACTTTTCTTTGTGCTACAGGTTGACTACAGGCTGATGTGTTTTCATCTATAATCCATGGTTTAAAATAAATTCTGCTGTATAAAAGCAGCTAATGGCTTTCTTGTGCTGTGATAGCAGACAAGTTCTTGTAATATGTCAATATATCATAATGCAAATTAATAATAAGTAATACATAAATAACTCAAGATTTTTCACTGTTTTTTGAACACAAAGACAGTTGGGCAAATTTTTATACATTTCTAATCTTAACAAGCTTTTAGAAAAAATACTCAACCTATAAAGCACAGGGAAACATCAACTATATGTTAACCTATGCAAGAGCCTGCACCTTATCAGTATTAATGTATTAATTGAAATGTCCCAAATATAACTGATAAATTCTAGTTTATTTCCAAACCTGTGAAAATGTACTTTCAAAAAAGCAAGAATGAGATAGAATTGATTCTTTAAGATGAATTGAATTTAGTTGTAGATTTCAAATTTTATCTGAAATTCCCACCCTTTTTGATTGGTCTAAGTAGTTGTTATAATCTAGGATGCTGGTGGTGTAAATCACACAGTACTCTGATCTAGATAGCTTCATTCTAAAGAAACTCAAATTCCTAAGGGATTGTGATGAGGAGCAAATGTTTTTCTTTCAACTTTTCTTGGCAAAGGAGACGTATGAAGAGAAGAACAGGCTTTTGAAGGAGCGCCTGGACAGGATATTCTCTGGCAACGAGCGCCGCTGCTCGCGGGCCCCCGTGTATGGCAGGGACGTGCTGAGCCTGTGTTCTCTGGCTGCTGGAAGGAAGCCCTCTCAGCTGGCTTCCAGTGAAGACAGCAGCTGGAGGTGGGCTGGCTTTGTGAACTGTTGCCTTTCTTCAAGTGCCTCTGGAGGCCCAAGTAACCCATTGCAAGAAATGATCCTGACTTTGGTTCAGCAACGAGAATCTCTGAAGGATGTTGTTAACAGGTAATGTGTGACTCTGCCTCGCAAGCCTTTACCACATCTAGTTATTTCTTAAACACTCCAAATAAGCTTTAAAACCTTATTTCTGTTCATGAGTTTATTTGGTTTAGACCGATTGATTTAGCAGTAAATGATGTATGGTACAGTTGTAAAAATAACAGTCACTTCTATTTGTTTTAGGATCTTTATAATAAGAGTTTTCAGTGCCACGTTCTTAGTTCCAAGCCCAAATTCAGTTGACCACCCTTTAGCTTACATTCCTATGCTTTGGATTTACTTCTGAGTAGGTACTTCTTGGAGCCAACCAACAAGAGTTCAGACACAGAGATGTAGTCAGAAGTTAGTTTAGCTAGAGCTGACAGTGGATTGTGTGCAGAGCAATAGCTGCAGTTTTCTAGAAACACGAAATTCAATTAGAATAACTCCATTCTTCCATTCTAAAGTTCCAAGAACTTTTTTGAATTGCTTTTAGTAAGTTTGGTATGATGAGTTTGCTCCAGTGACTGAATACATTGGTTACAGTACAAACACTTCAACAGAAGCTGTCATCAAAGCAGGCAAAACAAAACAAAAAGGTAAAGTGAGATAGAAAATACTAACACTTTAAAGGTATGCAGCACTTACTAAGTCACTTTAACAAAGTGATTAGATAATAGTGCAAAATCACATTGTTGCCAGGCTGAAAAGTATTGCTGCAGGTGATCGTTTTGTGTGTAACTTTTTAAACTGGTATTCCCTTGTTTTAATGCTTTTCACAGGGCTCTCTTTGTACTGCCAGCAGCAGTTGCTGCTCCTCCATGTTTGTATGTAGCAAATCCTCCCCCTTCATACAGTCACAGACTGAAACTCCTTAAGCACAGTCTTAAGCAGAAGGCAGCTCCACACTTGCATCAGTTACAACAGATTACAACTCCTCACTTGCTGCAGTTCCCTGACCTCCGGCTGGTGCAGTATGACTCAGGTAAAGGAAGACATTTGATGATAATATTTCAGTAATTTCTAGCTCATGGGAATGGAATTTCTACATGAAAACTTTGGTTTTCTTGTTTAAATATAGGAAAATTAGAAGCTCTTGCTGTCTTGCTTCAAAAGCTGAAATCTGAGGGGCGCCGTGTGCTGATTTTGTCACAGATGATTCTGATGTTGGACATACTGGAATTGTTCCTGAATTTCCATTTCCTCACGTTTGTGAGGATTGATGAATATGCTAACCATGAACAACGACAGGTTAGTTTGCCCTCATGGTTGTCCACTGGCACAGCAATTTGTGCTGCTCAGGTTTCTGTATGCTAGTACATATAAAAATGAGATTTGCCTTGTTTCTTACTCATCTTGAAACACTTGACTTGTCCTTGTCTGTTTTTTGTTGGGCTATAGTGAGTTTGGCTTGGTGTATGGTTTATTTACTCCTTGGTTTTATTCCATTTATGTAGGAGCTGATGAAAATCTTCAACAGGGACAAGCGCATTTTCTGTGCCATCCTTTCCTCTCACAGTCGTTCCACTGGAGTCAACCTCGTTGAGGCAGACACTGTTGTGTTCTATGACAATGATCTAAACCCAGTGATGGATGCAAAAGCACAGGAATGGTGTGACAGAATTGGGAGATGTAAAGATATCCATATATACAGGTGATGCTTAAAGATCAACAATTGCTCTTTTACATGCTTTAACATAAGGTTAATTCATAGAGTACAACTCTGTATGGTCTGAAATAAAGTGGAAAAAGGGCTGAAAACTTCGTCTCACTGCAATTAAAAAAGTGCTAGGTTATCATATGAACATGTGGTCTGAACACCAAGTGTAATGAATGAATCATACCTGCATGGGTTTTGTCTGTTAGTTTTCAGAATTTTTTTTAAGTGAAGTGAGGGATTCTGTTTATTTATTAAAATTATGCTAACTGTTAAAAAAGCTTTAAAGTAGAGCTGGTAGTATGTGTTTTGTTCTGGGCCTTACCAGAACTGAAAAAAACCCAAACCTATAAACCACCACATTTTAAGAGGTCAGTGTTATTCTTGAAGGGCTGTTTCTCATTTCTGAAAGCTGTTTTGGAAATGACTTACCAGATTTCTGTTATTTTCTTTTTCCTTTTTCTTTTTAGGCTTGTCAGTGGCAATTCTGTAGAAGAGAAGCTTTTGAAAAATGGCACAAAGGACTTGATCAGAGAAGTAGCTGCTCAGGGAAATGACTATTCAATGGCCTTTTTAACACAGGTAAGTTAATATTCAAAATATATTCACACGCCTGTGTTGCTGTGTTTAATAAATTCAAGCATCTACGTTGAGGTGTTTAATGACAGTGTAGTAGAAATCTGTTTGGGCTAGAATTGCTAGGTAAGCACATTAGATTTCATGATTGCCTGAGCTCTAGGTGTTAGGGCCACGTTCTCTTAAATACTGCCCATCTGCTTTTCCTCCTTTACTTACATAGTGAAGTACAGGCATCTCCTGTGTGACTTAATGTATTCTGGTTTCTTACACCCTACTGCAAAATTCTGCAGAGCTTGTAAGGATGCAAGTTTCAACAGCTTTAAACATATGAAATACAAAGTGAGTATTTGCTGAGAGGGGCTCTCAGTCGCTGCTTTGGAGATGCAGAAGACAGTGAAAGCCCTGGTGAAGTTAGTCCGTCCCATTCTGGCACTCCCAATATGATGGTGCAGGATGAGAAAATCTGTATTTCTGACTTTCCTATAAAGGAACTGTTAACACTTTATTCTACTCTGTAGTCCTACAGCAGAAAGTTAAGAGAAAACCAAACAGTTTTCCAGAAATAATACATTGAGTTTTAATTTTAATGTATTCAATCTATAGTTTCTAAAGTCATATGAGCCTGAGCTAATGCAAAGCTACATAAAAAGAATTGAGTGGTCCCAAAAGCTGAATGTACTTCCCTTTTTTCCTTCTACTTACCAAGCAAACAATTCAGGAATTATTTGAGGTCCATTCTCCTATGGAGGATTCTGGATTTAGAGTAAAAGCAGAAGAATTTGTAGTACTTTCTCAAGAACCATCTCCAGCAGAAAATATTTCACCTAAAGTTGCAAGACCATTCATAGAGGTAATTATTAACACATACATTAAAAATACAGCTGTGCAACGTTGGTATTAAACAACTGCCTTATCTTTTTTTATTTGTGTAAATTCTGTCAACCTCTTTTTATGATACTTCTATGTTGTTCTGTCATTTTTCTCATAACAAAATTTCCAAAAGTCCAGAGTTGAGTTGTATACTTTCTGAGGACTGTTTCTCTTGCCTCAGCAGAGACTTACTCCAGAAATTTGTGTTGGATTTCAGTGAACTTCTTATGGGGTTTCTTTCCATTTTTTTGAAGTCTTCATTATTTTTAAAATATGTCTTTCTGAAAGGCCCTCAACAGTATTGAACATGAGGATGAGGAGTCAAATGATCATCTACAAGAAATTGGATCCGAGTCGAGTATTGAGCCTTTAATCTCAGAGTTCTTTGAGACAAAATACTATGAAGAGCCCTCACAGCTGCAGGAGTTAGTTGCTGTTGTGGACCAGGTACTGTGATTTTCCATGAATATTTGGCTAAAAAGTAATGTTTAGTTCAAATATTTCAATTTCTTTGCAGTCTGGCCTTAAAGCAACTTTACTTAAAGTAACTTTCCCATTAAATGGATGGGACATCTCCTACTCCTTAAGGTGTAAAGCCGTCAGAGAGAGAGAGATTAGTTTTAAGGAGAGCTTTCACGCACTCTCCTTCAGTTAACATTTATTTTATTATTAATACTATTTTTTTTTCCTTGATACATTCTTTTAGCTGACTCCAATTGAGAAGTATGCTCTGAATTATTTAGAGCTCTTCCACGTTTCAGTTGATGAGAAAGAGCCACGGTTGAATGAGGTAAAACAACAAGTCTTTCTTTTCCATGTGGTTCTGTCACAGTATGTACAAGCAGGGTTATATTTTCAATGTGAAGTGAAAGGTTCTCCAGTGACATGGAATATATTGTAGGCGCTTCTTTTGCTGTACTTTCTGAACACTGGAATGACTTACAGAGAGCTCATTATTTTGTGATTCTCTTGGATTAAGCAAGTGTCAGGTCTTAATTTCCTTTTTCTAAAATGAGAGTGACGTTCTTCAGCACGGCTCACAAATATTTGTTGTACTCCATTGATAGTGGGGGAAAAAAATTAATTAATTTCAGTGAGCCTGCTTATTTGGGTAAAGAAGCTGTGTTCTGGTTGTCTTGGTTGCTTAACTGAAATTCTGAGTTTGATTTGGGTGTTTAAAGACTCAACAGAGACCAAAAAGTCTCTTCTAAATGGTTGTGAAAATATCTGTTAAGAAATTGAGGATGTCAAAATTCGAGGAGTTGATTCACAAAAATACAAATTGATAAATTTTAATCCAGTGTCTGTTAATGCAGTAAAGTTTATAAGGAGTCTGACTTTCATCTAGATGGAAATGAAAACTGCCAAGAAAGCATGGGAAGTGCAGCATATGAAAGAGTTAAAGGAAAAAGAGCAGAAACTGCTTTGGGAGGATGAAGAGGAACTTCTAACCTACACCCGGGAGGATGCATACAACAAAGTAATTCCCAGTTAGCCTTGTTTTTCTTAATAGTGTATTTCTTAGCAATTGTTCTGAGAGTATCTTTTTCCTTCAGGGTTCAATGGTATCATTTCAGTTGTGTTCTTTTTTGCTGTGTAGGAATATATCTATGAAGGTCCAGATGGGCAAACCGAGATAATGCCAGTAAGTCAGCCTAAAAAGACTTTGTATTTTTTGAAAGATAAAGATTAGTGGAGAGTTAGCATTGCAGTAACTACAAATTTTGTTCTGTGCAGCTTTGGACTCCTCCCACTCCACCTCAGGATGACAATGATATCTACATAGATTCTGTTATGTGCCTGATGTATGACACCACCCCGATTCCAGAGTCAAAGTTGCCTCCAGTGTATGTCAGGAAGGAACGTAAACGACACAAAACAGATCCATCTGGTAAGCATTTGTTCAAAACTCCTCTGAGATTTATTGTTGAAAGTTTAAAAAAAAAAAAAATCAGGAATTTTCAGACCTCCGACATGTCTGGTCTGGTAAAGATCAAATTTGCAGATTTGGAGGGATGAAAATTCCTGTCTCACCATGGTCTTGAAGCAGTAAAATCAGTGGAAGCCCCAGTTCTTAATGTGCATCCTTCTATTTAGATATATAGGTGGTTTTGAAAGGATAATTTTAGGAAACAGGCATTCTGCTGTTTGAGTTAGGAGAAGGCTGATCTTGCTTGGTACCCGGTTCTGTTTAGTTACTGACAGGACGCTTTTAAGAGGCAGTGTGGAATGCTCTGCACACACAGGAGCATTTTGCACCTATAAGTCACAGAGGAATCACAATATGACAGGAGCTGTTTACCAAGAATGGTGTGGGTTTTTTCTCAGCTGCAGGTAGGAAGAAAAAGCAACGTCATGGGGAGACAGTTATTCCACCTCGCTCGCTGTTTGATCGAGCAACTCCAGGAATGCTGAAAATGCGCCGGGAGGGCAAAGAGCAGAAGAAAAACATCTTGTTGAAACAACAGACACAGTTTGCCAAGCCTTTGCCAACTCTTGTCAAACCAGCTGCCGAGGCTGGACAGGATAATCCAGAGTGGCTGATCAGTGAAGACTGGGCACTTCTGCAGGTCAGATCATACGTGCACTTTCTGCTGTTATTATTTACTGTATTTTGGGTTCTCATTTCAGAAATGGCTCATTCTGCACTTCATCTCCTCGAGGTTATTTCTAATTCTTAATGGCTAGGTTGGCATTTTGCTGACATATCTGAGAACAGCTTGCCTATGCTTCGTGTTCCTCTAAGGATAAATTGAAGGTTAACCTACAAAATGCATGATTAAGTCCTGTTTTTGTTGTAGAGACCACTTACTGTTACATTCCAGATTAGTTGTGCTGGCTAGATGTTGGATAATGCGTCTAATGTTCTTCCCACTTTTGGGAAGAGAGGAGCACTTGAATGGCAGCTCTCTGTTCCTCTTACACCAATCTCCAAGTGCTTTCTTGCACGTCAGTCTGCAGAGGAGTGTTTTCTGCTTGTTTATTCTCTGTGAATGCAGGTGAACGCGTAGCCTGAGCCCTGAGCTATCTGCCTCATTGCAGTAGTGGTGTGTGGGCGCATGCAGATAAGGGTAGGTTTGGAAGATGGGGATGATTTGTCATCTGAAGCTTTTGTACCTTTATCTATTGTAGGCAGTGAAGCAGCTGCTGGAGCTTCCTTTAAATCTTGCTGTTGTATCGCCAGCACACACTCCCAACTGGGACCTTGTTAGTGATGTTGTTAACTCCTGCAGCAGAGTCTATCGCTCACCAAAACAGTGCCGAAACAGATATGAGAATGTCATTATTCCAAGGGAAGAAGGAAAGGTGAGTTTACATAGAATGATGCGTCCTTTTCTACCTTCAGTTTGTATGAGTTTTTTTTTTCCTTATCTCCATAAACACTTGTTTTTTTGTTAAATGTTTCAACAGTGTAAATAAATAACTTATAAAAGATTATAAAATTATCCTCATCAGGATTTCCACTTATTTTATGTGATTTCTTTGAAAAGAAAAAGCACCTGAACAAAATCTTCCACAAAAGATCATCTAACTTTCCTTCTTATTTTACAGCTAATGTACGAAGCTAATCCTAAAAAGAAGACAAAAAGTATTTATAAGGTGTGCATTGGTATTCTTTCAAAATCAAATCTAGACACTGTGGTATTTAGCAGCAATGGAGGTGGGCAGATAATTCATATGAGATCCATGTTGAGTGTTACTTGAGTTCTGAAACATCAATTAAAATTCCAAATTTATTTTTCCTTTCTTTGTTGATACAGTGGATTGACACCAGACTTCAGCTTTTGGATTTGATAGATAAATATTAAATCATGCAAGAAGTTTGTGATTTCACTTAAACTGTAGTACTATTTTTTCCACCTAACAACCACCATGTAACTTATCCTGATTATTATGATGGTACTTAAGATCTGTAAGAATGAACTTCACGCTAGAGTCTAAGTGGATTACAAATACAATGCTTGAACACCTTTTAGTAAATATGGATGACAGTACACCAGAGAAACAAAAACAAATTCCATGATTGTAAACAACTTCTTCCAAACCATACAGCGATTTAGTGACAGAACTGGGCAGAGAATCTAGGACTTCTGACTGTAGTCCCATTCTCTGACTTATAAGCAGGTTTGTCCCTGAGTGGCAGTTTTCTACTTGGGAGAAGCCAAACGTTAGCGTGGCATGGTGTGCTGGATGTTAACGTAGCTGTGTTGGGAGAGCAGTGCAGTCATGGCTTTGTTACAGTGCTGTGCGCTATGCATAACTAGGAACTAATGGGCTCGTGGTTTGGGTACTGAATTAAACCTGCAAAGTCTAAACTAAAGCAAAGATTCTTTGTTCAAATTAGAGTTTGCTATTTTGTATGTCCCCAAGTGCTGATGCCAGTGTGACCGTGAGAACCGCTCCTTATTTTGCTTTTTCTTTATATATTTCCCATAGAGTTTTGTTTAACAGTAAGCTATCAGAGACACGAGGCAGAAACCAGTCTGTGATAGATATGTTGGAGTACGTTTTTAAATAATCTACAAGTGCACCATGTGTTTATACGTAGACAAAACACTGTGTGGGTGTGTTCACCACTGACAGTTGGTTTCTTTTCATTTTTTAGACCAAAAACAGTCGCCCGCTTCGTACCAATCAGATCTATGCTCAAGACGAAGGCGCAACCCACACGCAACTTTATACTAATCATTTTGAGATGATGAAAATGATTGCAGGGAAAAGAAGTCCACCTATCAAACCTCTGTGAGTTTAATTGGGAACATTTGATCTCCCTGTCACCACAGATCCCCTGGGAACTGTGCTCTGAATTGCTCTTGCAAATCAGAGCTGTTGACACTCTGTTTCAAACTGCTATTTTGTTTATCTGCTCTTGATCTCTTTCCTTGCATCTTAGCCTTGTGTTATTGGAACACCTTCATATTTCATGTGTTTGAGGTAGCTTTTACTCACTGCATGAATTTGTTCTCTGTGATTAAGAGCAGAAGAGCACTCAGTTGTTTTTTTTTAAATCTTCTCTATAAACTACACTTTCCATTTGCCTGAACTGTAAATATTTTGACATCTGTGCTGTTAAGTAGTACATCTTTTTCTATGCATATTCCTGCAGTAACTTTTTATGTATTCATTTAATATTTATTCTGAGTCTTTCCTAAAATATCTATCTGTATGCAGGCTCCAGCACTGGTGGGAATGTCATGAAAACGTCACCAGACTGCAGCATCATCTGTTACAACATGAAATCAAATATTGTTTTTAAGTATTTTATGTCTCCAGTAATATAGTTTTGCTCAATTTCAGACTTGGCATGAACCCTTTCCAGAAGAACCCGAAGCATGCGTCAGTGCTTGCAGAAAGGTGGGCACTCTGTCTTAAAGGAGTTAAAAATTGCATACAAGTGTTTTGTTTAGTTTAATTTTCAGTTATTTATTTTTAACGCTCGTGTGCTTTGTCTGATGATTGTTTCTAGTGGAATCAACTATGATAAGCCACTTCCTCCAATTCAAGTTGCATCCCTCCGAGCAGAACGCATTGCAAAAGAGAAAAAGGTATGGTCTCCATCTCACCTGTACATGTGACCACAGTGATTACAAAATTAGACAACAGGAAGTACAAGAAAAGCTGCCTCCTGGAAGAAGCTTGTTGGTATAGTAGATATTATGAGCAGCTACAAATTGTTCACATGCGAGGGTTTAGATAGCCAAGGTCCAAAGTGGGAACTTTCCTTGAGCCTGTGTCACACTTGTACTTGTTTAGACGCATCCTTTTGGCAAATATGTTAAAAACATGTAATAATGTTGTTTTATTCTTGACCATTCTGTAGCCTTCTTTCTTGTATTACGTAGAAAGAGATACTTGTCCTTCACAGAATCATGGAATCACTATGGTTGGAAGGGACCTCCAGGATCATCAAGTCCAACCTTCATAGAATCCTTTAGGTTGGAAGAGACCTTTAAGATCATCAAGTCCAACCATTGAGCCAATAGGGCTAAAAAGTACTCTGCTAAAACAGATCAGAATCTGTCAGGGTTGGAAGGGACCACGAGGATCCCCCAGTTCCAACCCCTCTGCCATGAGCAGGGACACCTCACACTAGATCAGGCTCCTAACATTTCCCTAACCCCTAAGATCCTTGCATGTGGATGGTAAATGGCCCGCTGTGCTGTGCTCTAAGCCATATAACCATGAGCATAGCCTGTAGTTTGAAACTAGTCAGGTCATGTAAGTTGGAGAGTTGCTGCAAAGACAGATTTGTGTGCCCTGCACGCAATATATAAAACATGGTTAGAGTTAAAGGGGCTTTGCTTTGGGAAGAAAGTCGCACCCTGCTCGTTCCACGCGCTGTCTGGAGACTGTGAAGCTGACGCTCTGCTCTCCTAGGCGCTGGCCGAACAGCAGAGGGCCCAGCAGCAGCCGGGCCCGCAGGCTCCGCAGCAGCC